TCATGAAAAATAGTTGTAAAATGTCTGGAATGGATGCTGAGCTAAATATAGAAGGGAACTGTTTGCCAGTGTCAGATGCTTCCATAGCATGCACGTCACCATGCCTTCCTCAGCTGGTGAGCAGTAGTTTGCAAAGTCTGGGTGAGCATGGAGTGGTTTTACCAGACGTGAGTGAGATGCTATGGAAAAGCAGTCGTATGGTGTTTGAGGTTTCTCTTTGTAACTGGCTCCAGCAATCAAATACACCTCCTCCCAAGCTGTTGTTTCCTACTCTGTACATAAATCTTCCATCTACTTAGCTTGAATTTTGGGTTTTGCTACAAAATACCTCCTAGATATAAGATATGATTGCCTAGAGAAGGCAGGCAGATAATCTCGGTTGTAGAGTTATATTTTTCAGTGTTAGCTTTCTGGGTTTGCCCTTTAAAGATATGACAGTTGTATATAAGTGGAAGTAATTTAGCCCTGGAGGGGTGAAATTCTTTTTTAAGCTCTTCATGTAATCTTAGTTTGTTATTGCAAAAAGATCTCTAACCAGGAGCAACTGGGCCCAATCTAATGCTGAATTTAAAATAACTAGAAATCCTGGGGCAGCCCTCTGCAGCGCCAGAGCAGTTGCCAGATGCAGTTGGCATCAGATGCACGTCTAACTCAAGTGCATTTGCCTGTATTTTAGCCACAGGTACTGCAGGCTGGAGGGCAGCTGGAGGGGTGTCCTGCTGGCTGTCCTGCAAGTGGAGGCTCCCAAAAGCCATCCCATTGATGCAGGGGGTTCAATAAGGTGCCACCCCACCACGCTGGCAATTGTACAGAGTAGGAGACAGTTCCTGCCTAGAAGAGGTAAAAGACTGCAACTGGCAGCAGAAAAGTGCAATGATTGCCTCTGGTTGTTCAGCAGCTCAGAAAACTCTCAGAATTGATTTGGCTCTGCAGACACACTGAAAACAAATTTAATCCCATTCCAGTAAATTCTTATGGTTTACTGCTAGCATGAAATGCCCTGACCGTGATTTTACATGCAAGCATGAGGTCACTACAGACAGTACTGGTTTATGTGAACTCTTCAATGCCAGCAACAGGATTTCAAAATGGTGCAAGAGTATTTTTGTGCTGAGGAAGAGGTGAGATCTTCAGTTACCCAGAACTAGGTCATCAGACCCTAATGCAGGGCAGGGCTGGGAATATCAGTCCATCAGTTGTATCCCAGTATGGATTGGGTCATCATGTGAGCAGGCAGAATATTTGGACAGAAATTTATCTAAGATCACATGCTATGGGCCATGTCTTCATCATATTTACCTATGTGATTTTTAGGTAACTATGCCCCTTGGACACATACTGAGTTAGACTAGATAGCAAGGCAGTCTTAAAGATATGGGCTAGAGTTATGGGACCAGTTATATTTAGGGAGAAATACCTAGTCTCTTACTGATCTACACAATTTGGAAGAGCAGTTTTTCCTGTAATGGTGAGGTTAGAGTCCATGTTGTGACAGTTGGGGGAAAAAGGAATGTAAAGAGGTTTTTGTGATTCCTTAGGTTAGGATAACTTTTGGGGAAAACATGTAATTCAGTCTGGCTTTGTTTTGTGAGCAGTTCAAGAATATCTTGGCCTATATAGTGATGTGGGGAAATAGCTTGTTCTATTTCAGACAAGGAATATTTCCAGAAAGATAAGCTGAGCTACATTACATTATTTGATCTAATAGTTTGGTATCACTGAAGACTATAACATGGGCTAAAAAGTGACTGAAATATAGATATATCTTTACTGGTCAACAAAACCCTTGCAACAGGCCATCTATGAATATTGTTACAGTCTTTATATTCTTAACCTAGTGGGCTGCCTCTCCTCTATAGGAGGGAGACTATTTCTTTATATTTGGGGATGACAGGGCAAGGCCAAATGGTCAGTGCTTATGAAATAGAAAGAGGAAAGACAGTATCTTTGCAGAGATTGTGCAAAGGTCAAGGAACACACATTGTGCGTCATTAGGGCTTTCAAATTGCTTATATGTTTTTAAGTAAAATGTATCTAGGGAGACTACAGCAGAAGAAAAGGGTTGAGGGAACTAGCCACAGACAGTTATGCAAGAGTCCAAGACTTCAAACAGATTTCTACATACATTCCTGCTGAACCTCATTTCTAGAACTTGCTCCTTTATGATGATTCTGATGTTTTTAAGTATTCATCCCAGCTCTAGCTTGAACCTGAGCTAAGCAGACAGAAATGAATGGAACACTGCCCTGCTTAACTCTGTTTTTCTGCTATCCCATCAGGTATAAATGAGTGACTGGCTTCAGAAGCACAAATGTGTGGAAAAAGGAGCGATGATGCATTCAGTGCTTGCAGCTATGAAGCCCCGGGGCCTTCTCATCCCAATGTTCATACATCAAACATCCATCAGACCACAAGACACTGCAAATTTATGTCCCTCTCCTCCTTCCCAGCTCTCTGCCCTTCACAAAATCCACAATATTCCTACTTGAAATTCCTCAGAGACACACTATTACCAGACATAGACACACAGACCGATAGACATCAGTTAGTGAGGTACAGCTCATAAGTAATTCACTAAAGAGTCTGCTGAGACAGGGGAGGGAACTGCTGTGGGTATATTGTTCCAGTCCCATCATTTCCCAAAACACTGAATGAAATAATAACTTGTTTATTATTACATGACATCAAGGCAATGCTAATAGCTGCACTTGAGAAACAACTTTGAACCCTGTGACCTTCCCTCGAGTGAGAAAGTCTTTAGGGAGGCCATGGGATGCAGAAAGCTGTATCCTTCTTCTGGTTCTCTAGATCCACTTGTCCCCTTGAAACACCTGTTTTCTTTTCCCTTTCAGCTGTTAACTCTGGCTTGAAGCTAAAGAGAACCCCTTGCCAAGGAGCCATGCAAGTGATACACCAATTCATTCCAGAGTAGGTTTCTGACATAAAATGAAACAAGTCCAGGCACTTGATCCACCCTCCTCTAGTAAGCTACAGGAGGAAAAAAATTTATTCCGTATGTCACACCATGTTCACATTACATAATTATCTTCTCTCTTTGTCTTTATCCACCCTGCTTAGAAGTACATGGCCTTGCAGGCTCACAGCTTTGATTTTGATACACTCTTTCTTTTCCTTAATACCACAGCTAAATCCTTGGTGTTACACAGCAAACAATTGCACCTTCCTTTGAAAGTGCACTAGGTACACTGCCTGATTGAATTCAATGCTTCTAAGCAATAGAGAGCATCTGCTGACCAGTTAACCTCTTTTATTTTCTTCTTTTACAGTAAAGTAGAAACAAAAGCAATCCAAAATTTAGAAGGGAAAAAAAAAGCGCCAAAACAAATGAGAACTGATCCTGCCCTCCTGAGAGAATGATTACTTTAGAGATGTAAGCTAATGCATCTCCTGTCTTGTCTTTCCCCTAGGCAGCTTCTTCCAAAGAAAGGAATAATATCTTCAGCATCAGTGTGGGTGTCTTATGTCTGGGGGACTAATCACTTCCAGGACTGAGCCCTGATGACTTAAGCTGCTCTGCACAAAACTCCACGCATGGAAGACAAAAACATTGTTCTGTTGCCCCAAAAAGGGAAAAAGGTTTGAAGTCTTGCTAAAAACAACCTCTGATCAGCTGTACACATCTAGACACTGTTGTCTTTGGTGTCCCAGCTGGTCCCAGCTGTTGGCATAAGCACTGACAATGACATTCATTCCTGTTGCACACAAGTCCTATGCAAGCCCAATTTTTCAGCTGCTTGCTGATGGGAAGTGAAATCCACACAGAGAAAAGCTGTCCTTGAGGCCCACAGGATCCCAAAGCTTGTAGAAAAAATGGGGAGGATTAGTTGTAGGATCACTTCCGGCTACTATCTAATTTTATCTGTGTGTCACTGATACCGAACGTCATTCTTTTTATTATGAGAACCCTTCGACAAACAGGCCTAAAAATAAAAAGCTAGAGCTCGTAGCTGGCACAAACTGTGCTACATGGACTCCAATTTGTATAGCAGGAACTATAATCACTCTGAGACGTGCCCAAGCCCTCGGGCATCCCACGGGATTTCAGTCACTTGTTTACAAGGTGTTTTGATTTGCAGCTGTTTGACTACAGTGGCATTTCAAGAGGGGGCGGTTTGAAAGGATGTTGTTACTGTGGATGCCGGGATTGGGAAATGGGTATTGAAAAATCACACAAGAAACAGGCGAGTGCTGGCTTTGTTCTTACCCCCTTACATCTGAATGACGTCAGTGCAGGGGAAAGGAGCTCCAGAACAGATCTAGAGACCAATGCTCTGGAAGGAATAAACAGAGTTCAGGTAAATCCCTGAAAACAGAGCTGTGCCCTAACCACACCAGAGTGCCCCACATCTGATCTAAGGGGACTAAGTTCTGGAGGTTTAGAAGGGAAGCATCCAAGCCCATTGCTTTTCCACCTTTTCTAACAAGATTATCACATCTAGGAACTAGGCTAAAGGCCACTTCAAACAGACCAGCAGCTGAAATGGATTTAGTCACTGACTCAGAGTGATTTAGCACTTCAGATGGCTCTTTTGATAATCACAGCTCTCCTGACCTGAACAGTTCCTCTTTCAGAACTGCATTAAGCTAATGCCCACTTTCTTCTGGCCCTATTGGGATAATGGATTCAGATATGCAGAAAGAATGTAAAAATCCATCTGTTATCTGGGATGAGTGATTTGCACAATAGTGCCCATGAGTGTTTGTTTAACACTGCGGACAGCAGAACACTAAGTGGTAACACGCTGAGAAAGGGAAAGAAGGGAGCAGAAAGTAGCCTGGCTGTTTAAAAGCTATGTCCACCAATCTGTCTGCATTTTTTTGGCTTAGTTAGATGTTTGCCTGCTTTTTATGGGAAACCAGGAAGGACACGTGGAGCTTTTCCCAGGCTTTAGTGTTATTCTCTTGTTTCCAGCCTTGGATTTTGTATGCGTTATTTACAGCAACTCACATAGACAATCTAGTGCCAAGAGGATATTTACCTTGCAAACTTTTCATCTGCTGCCCCCCTCTCCCCTTCTGTGACTTTTTCGAGTGATGACTGACTAGAGGCACCACGCTGCACTTGAAGAAGCCTCACCCTCACCAACTTCAGACAGCAGCCCTTTGCCTGCTCAGTGTGTGCCAGAAACCTGGCTGCACTTTCTTGGCAGGGAGCAGCCATCTCCTCACTTTCTGGAGGTGAAGGAGGGCTCAGCCTAGAATATAAAGCATAAAATGGGAAAGAATCAATTAGATTATACCATGACAAATTGTTGTTTTTCTAGGGAGGTAAAAACCCACCCTATGTTTGATTCTGAGTGACATTGATCGATTTGGCACTAGCAACTTCTCTGCTGGAGTCACGAGTGACTTCTCTTTAAGCAAGGACCAGAATTATCTAGGCTGGCATTACAGTTCATCACACTCCTTGCTTTCTTTAGGCAAAGTTGAAGGAAAAATCTGCATTTCCACTGCACATGCCATCAAAGATCTCAAAGAACATGACTTATCTTAGCCCACATGCCAAATCTGAATCAGAGCCAGGGTCAGAATTTCTCACTCTCTGTCGTTTCCTCCAGCCAGGATAACTTTTCCTCAAGGTCAGCTATGACTGTTGCCATCAGGGGCATGTGACACTGTCAGCACCTTGCCACACATACCAGTTTCAGACTGCCTGGGTTTTACCCATAGTTATTGAAAACTGTCTACAGAAAAGTCTGCTAAAAAGAAAGTTGAAGACTGCTGAAGTCTATTCTAATCCACAGTGTCTATATTTATGCAGCCCATGTCACAGCAGAGCAGAGAAAATGTCACTGGAACAGTTTTCTTTTTGCCAACAGGCAAGAGGTTTAAAAAGAGGCAGTAACCTCTATTTGATGATGTATTTCTACAAATGTTTAACTTGCTATTTCATTTAGAAATCATCTTTAATGTTGATTTATATTCTTGGCAGTGAAGTCAGGAGGTTGGCAATCCCATTCCTTTTCAGTCTGTGCTCTGACTGAGGCAATAACGCAGATCAAAGAGAAGGAGTCTTACAGCACTCACATTTTATCATCTTGAATGTTTTCAAGTTCTCACTCTGATATTCATGGCCAGATTATGTAACTACTAGATTTATACTTCTGAAGGCCACATAGTAAAGACTGAAATGTTGTATTAAGAGGAGGTATTTGGAAATAATTGAGTTGACTAAAAGAACAACATATCAAGTAAACACTTGACACAAGAAGCAATGTTTTCCTGGAGATGTCGTTTTGCTCCAGTCTTTTATAGGGTCAGCCTCCTGTTTTCATGCCATAGAATATAAAATTAACTGCATGTTATTATACATTCTAAGTCCTGTTTTTCATCTAAATATGTCAAACTGACATTTTATTGCCTTAGTAATTGCTGAATATTCAAGGACTTGAATTTCATCAATAACAGTTTACCGAACTGAAGGAAGCAGAGTGAGCCACAGACCTTCTGTGAATTTTTCAGAGAGTAATATATTCGTTATCTAATGGGTCAGAGGAATATGAAGACTTGCTTTGGTGCCTGCCTTGAGCCTCCCTGCCCATGGCTTTTGTACAGTATCTCATGAACACTGATATGTTTAGTTGCCTAATGGTTTGGAGACTTTGATAGCATAGCGACATCCCCCTTTTTATAAAAAAGAGAAAAAAGGCAGGCAGAAGTTAGCAGATCATAGCATCATTGGGGTTGGAAGAGACCTTTAAGACTATGTCATCAACCCAGCACTATCACTGTAACCCTAAATCACTAAATCATCCCCCTGCACCACATCCAGGTGGTGCAACCTATTCCAATGCCTAAAATGCACTGGAGGATGAGAGCCTAGATGGAGAGCAGCCCTGAGGAGAAGGACTTGGGAGTTTTAGTTGACGAGAAGCGCAACATGACACGGCCATGTGCAGGATGGTCGGGGCTCTGAGCAACCTGGTCTAGTGGGAGGTGTCCCTGCCCACAGTAGGGAGTTGGGACAAGGTCCCTTCCGAGCCAAAGCTCTGTAGGATTCCATGCAGTGGGACAGAACCCCGATGTGCTGCTGGCCAGAGCAGACTGTGGGGCCATCACTGTGGGCACGTCCCCCTCTGCACTGGCCCTGCTGCCATGAGCCACTGCCAGACACACGGACAGGCTGCCGGCATGTGCCAGGATAGGCCTGCATGGGGACATCACGGAATTACAGAGTTGTAGGGTTTGGGGGGACCTCTGGAAACCATTTAGTCCAACCCCCTGCCAAAGCAGATCGCTCAGGAAGGAGCACATCCCATGTCCAGGTGGATTCGAATGTCCCCAGAGAGGGAACCTCCACAACATCCCTGGGCAGCCTGCTCCAGTCCTCTGACACTCAATGCAGAGACATTTTTCCTCATGTTGAGGTGGAACTTCTTTTGTTTTATTTTATGGCCACTGCACCTTGTCCTGTCGCTGGGCACCATCCTTTCGGCACCCAAATTTATATGCACTAGTGAGATCCCCTCTCACTTTTCTCTAGATTAAACAGGTGCAGCTCCCACAGCCTTTATTCCTAAGAGGAACGCTCCAGTCCCTCCATACCCCTGTTGCCTGTACCAGGTACCGTCCAACAGCTCCGTGTGTCGCACTGAGGAGCCCAGAGCAGGACACGTCAGGGATCCCCGCCCCGGGGCGGAGCAGCCCCGCCGGCCCGGCCCGGCCCCGGACGCGGCTGCGGCGGCGGAAGGGGCGGAGCGGCCGCGGGCCCGGCGCGATGTTCCTGACGGCGGCGGCCCGTGAGTGCCGCGGGGGCGGCTGTGGGGCGGGCGGGGCGGGCGGGCCCGGCGGCGTGACCTTCCCGGCCCTTCCCCTCCTCCCCCTCCTCTCCCTCCCCTTCCTCCCCTTCCTCCCCTCCTCTCCCTCCCCTCCCCTCCCTTCCCTTCCTCCCTCCTCCCCTCCCCTCCCTCCCCTCCCTCCCCTCCTCCCCTCCTCTCCCTCCCCTCCCTTCCCTCCCTTTCTCCCTCCCTTCCCTCCCTTTCTCCCTCCCTTCCCTCCCTCCCCTCCGTCCCTCCCTCCTCTCCCTTCCCTCCTTCCCTTCCCTTCCCTTCCCTTCCCTTCCCTTCCCTTCCCTTCCCTTCCCTTCCCTTCCCTTCCCTTCCCTTCCCTTCCCTTCCCTTCCCTTCCCTTCCCTTCCCTTCCCTTCCCTTCCCTTCCCTTCCCTTCCCTTCCTCTCTCCCCGGAGGAAGCGCAGTGCGACCTAAACAAGACTTGCACAGACACAATATCACAATATAGACGGGCTTTTTTTTCTTTTTTTTTCCTTTTTTTTTTTCTTTTTTTTTCTTTTTTTTTCCTTTTTTTTTCTTTTTTTTTTCTTTTTTTTTCTTTTTTTCTTGATTTTAGTAGGGGTTTGAATTTGTACTGCAGATTTGCAATTGCTTTAAGTTTAGTGAGCAGACAGAAAGATAATTCGGCCTGTTTCGTGCTGTGCTGTGCTGTGGGTTAGATCAGCGAAGCCCAAAGCAGCCCGGGGAGGTCGGGCTGGGCTGAGAAGGGCTCCCTGCTCCGCACCTGTGGCCGTGCACAGCCTTGTGCTGGCATCGCAGCAGGAACCGGAGCTGGAGTGCGTGGAAACAGGTCCGGGAGACTGGGACTGCAGTTTCCACCAGTGGCTGTGGGAGCTGGACCTGCTCCTCACACCTGTCTTAACTTCACGTTCGCCCAGCGAATTCGTACTCGGCACTGAAGCTGAAAATTACTGACAACATCTGCAGCAAGTGCAGCCTGTCGTGCTGAGCACTGCATTTGCACAGACACTTTAAAGGTGACATGATGGCAGAAAGAGCAGGGAACTAACAGCACGTGGAAGAATGGGTGGTGCTTTATCGTGACAATAAATCTCTTCGCACTATCTGGTGCTTTAGCAAAGTCAGGCATGGAACACACTTAATCTTTGTATGTTGCATATAAAGGAAACAAGATAAAATGGTAACTCTGTCTTCTGTTTTTCTCCTCTTCATGCTGAAAAAAAAAAACAAACCCCAGTGGCCAAGAGCAAATCTAAGTAAGTGATGGTTTTCCTCACCAGTTTTTGATTACTGTTATGTTGTATCTTTACAAAGTATTTTTTAATATACCTGAGATAATTTCAGTCCTTGAGCCTAGCTGTCTCCTCTCAGCCATTCTGTATGTGTGTCTTCTCACAGGTAAGTACAGAACGGTGTGAAACTCTCCCATGGGTTCTGAACTTGCAGCAAAGGCAGATTTTGTCCTATGGGCTGTCACATTGAGCTCAGCAGTAATCTCCAAAGCGCCCTGTGCGAGGGGAGCACACCTCTGTGCTCTGTGATTAGAGAGGTTGTAAATCCAAGTATTTTTCCTGTTATTCACCTGTCATACCTTTTCAGCTGAGGACTAAGGTACATCGTGTGTGTTTGTTGTCTGTGGTGTGGACTTTAGGCAGGTGCTGTGAAGCTTTCCTATAGCCAGGGTGCAGAACACTTCCTAGGCTGAGCATACTCCTGAGTTGGTGTGTGAGGAGTGGCTGGGGTGCACTCAGTGCTCTGGGCATCTTAGTTTGCTCTGTAATCCAGCTCAGCAGAGATGTTAGTGGGCTCTGGAAGAAAACTAGTCACAGTCCTCTGACCTGTGTTAAGGATTGGAAAGAAAGGAGTATGTACTTTGAGCACACCAGTGCTCTTACAATGTGGGCACAAGGAAACAAAATTATGTAGAGAAACTGAATTGGATCTGGAATGCTCTGAGTAAAAAAATGAGCTAGACAAATCCAAGAGGCTAAACTGGTACATTCATGTGAACACATTCCTATCTTCCCATTCCCAGAAGCTGCATTCTGTGTGAGTGTATTATACTTGATACCACACAGGCCTGGGATCTATAGCCTTTGGTACATTTTCTGTATTTTGTGTTCTTTAAGAATCTGCCCCCAACAGAGCCAGTACCAACCACTTGCCACATTTGAGCAGATTCTTCTGTTACAGAATTTCTGCACAATTGTCAGGCTTTTAAATTAAGAAAGCACTTCCCAAGTATGTGCCTGACAGAGAGCAGTTTGACATCTCATTGTTCTACTGTTATCTGTTCATAAAAACAAACACAGCAAACCAGGAGGTTTCTGCAAGGTGAAAAAGTAGCTTTTTTAAATGGTGTTACTAATGTTAATGTGGGGATTTCTACCACACACTCCCTTTTATTTTTTATCCCGATGTTTCTTTCTGTTTATTTACAG